TACATGCTTTTATTATTTGGTTAATGCAATCATGGAGTTTGCTATTTATTGTAACAAGTGTAAAATTCCTGATAATTACGAGACTATTTTTTTGTCAAAAAACTCAATGTCGTTACTATAAACAGTTTGGTCATATTAATGCATTTTGTCCAAATTTACCTTGTTATCTTTGTCATATAGATGGCCACACACAAAGAACTTGTTTTGAAAACAAATTTAAGCCTAAAAAACTTAAATGTAAAGTTTGTAATAGATATAGTGATAAGGAATTTTGTAATGATATTCACATGGTTGCTTACTTGGCTTATAAAAAAGATTTTCAATTTATGTGGGATTATATAAAGTATTTATCCAATGTTGGAATAAATTTTTCTGCCATTTTAAGAACGATTTACAAAATTAAAGAAATGTATTATTTTAATATTTCGTTCGAGAAATTACAAAAAAAACAAAAGATGGATTGTTTATATCATGTTGGCATTAACAATGTTTACACTTTTAAAGAAGTTCATGATTCTTTAGGAATAGATTTATTTAATCTTTGTGTAGAATGTTGTAATATTATTAGTAATCAAAATTTGGTTTGTGATACTTGTGAAATTAAGAAGCTTTTTGAGAATTTTAGAATTAGACAGCAGTATAGAATAGAAACAAATAGTACAATTATTAATTCTCAATTAAAAATATATATGTACTAGTTTCGTATACAGATTAAATTTATTTATTTTGATATTTTTACTTATTTTTTGTGTATTTTATTTAAACATGAAAATTTGAAATTTTTTTTTGATTAAAATTTGATTCAATTCATAATTAATAAACAAAATGAAAATTAATTTATTTCTTTTTAAAAAAAAATTCGACAAATTAGAATGTTTTCAACCAAATTGTAATTTTGAATGTAAAATCGGTGAAAAATATCTTTATAATTTTCTATCAAATAATAATTCAATCATAAAAGAATATGCAAATGTTTTGATAGGACATTATTTAAAAAAACATAATATTCAATATCAAGAATTTAAAAATCATGTTATTCTTAAAAATACAAATCATTATATAACTAATAGATTATATTTTGATAATAATGACAATATTCGATTAGTGTTTAATAGTATTAAAAAATTGTGAAGAAAGCCAAAAGAGTTGAGTGGTGATGAAAAAAGAAATAAAAATTTAATAGCTCAAAGACAATATTGGGATAAAATACAAAAATACTTGAATTTATTAGAAGAACAACATCAAATACATAAAAATGAAATTTATATATTGAATAAAAAGTTAGAAAAATCGAAATTGGATAATGAATGTATGCAAAAAGAATTAGAAAATATTCGAAATCAAATTAAAGATTTGGAAAAAAGTAATGAAATATTAAATAACAAAAATAAAAATTTAAGCGATATATTAACCGAGTCGAATGAAGAAGTAGAAAAACTTGATAAGAGTTTAAAAGATCAAGATGCTAATAAGGAATATGTTAATCATAATAAGGAAATGATGACAGTGATCAAAGAATTGAAAAATTAAATTAAAAAACGTGATGAAGAATTAGAAAATGTAGGAGAAGAAAGAGATCGATATAAAATCAAAAATGAAGAGTTAAGAAAATGAATTAACAAAAATGTTACGAATAATGAAGTTTTTGAAGAAAATATTGGACTAATAAATATTGATGAAACCATTAACTAAGATTGGAAAATATTTTCATATAACGAAGGATTAGATTTTAAACTGGTTTTTTTTGAGCATAATAGTTATTCTAATGTGGGAAATAATGAAATTGAACTGGATTTGTTAAATACTTCATTAAATATTAGTAATTCAAATATTGGTTTTTTAAATACTGATAAAATTAATTTTGAAGAATTTACTAAAACGATGAGAATGATGAAAAGAATGAATAGTGATTTATTTTAATTATAAATTATTTTATTAATTTATTATCTATTTATATTTATTTTTTTTCATATTTATCAAACTGTACTTTTTTTATTTTTATTTTTTCTTATTTTAACATGAATAAATGAAAAATTGAATATAAACTTAAAAGTGAAATTATTAAAAAAGTCAAAACTCAAGATGTGAACTTAACAAAAGAAAACAATAACAATGAAATAAAAAAAGTCAAAATTGAAAATGTGAACTTAACAGAAGAGCAAAAAAATGTGGTTAATATAGTTTTAAAAGGCAAATTGATTTTTTATACAGGTTCTGCTGGAGTTGGAAAGAGTTATTTGTTGAAATATCTTATTAAAGAATTAAAATTAAAATTTCGATAAAAATATAATGTTGCGGTAACAGCTAGCACTTCAATTGCAGCATTGAATATTGGTGGTATAACTATTCCAATATCGGTATTATGAATAGGAGTAAGGATGATATTATTAATAAAATAAAAGGTAATACTTTTTTCAAAAATCAGATATTTTTTACCAAGGTGTTAATTATTGATGAGATATCTATGTTAAGTTATAATGCGTTTGATTTGATAAATGAAATTTTACAAGAAATTTGTGGAAATCAGGACCCATTTGGAGGTATACAGTTAATTGTAATAGGTAATTTTTTTCAATTACTGCCTATTTCAAATAAAGGAGATAAGAGAAGACCTTATGATTTGTACGTTTTTTTAAGTAAAATCTGGAATCAAACATTCTAACAATATATACTTTTAAAACAAGTTATCAGACAATCAGATGAGTTTGTAATAAATGGATTAAACAAATTAAGATTAGGAATTATCGAACCGGATTTCTTAAAATACATCAAAGGATTGGAACGGGAATTGATTTGTGAAAAGATTATTAATTACTTTACTGAAGATGATGACAAATTTAAATGTAATTTATGTGAAGAAATTATTCATATCAGAAATGGTGGAGCTTTGAAAAGGCATTTTAGAAATAATCATGATGGAATTATTAAAAATTATGATAATAAATACAAACCAATGATTTTATTTTTTGATAAGAAATCTGCAAAATTACATAATTATAATATATTATATTCTTTAAAAGGAAAAGGAATTTTAGAATTTTATTCAGATGATTGGAATATAGCTAAAGATAAAAAAAAGAATTTTGATCTACCTTCACATGAGCAGTTGATCGAATATTTAGATAAGAAAGTTTTAGCCGAAAAACTTTTATATTTAAAAGTTGGCATGAAAGTTATTTCTATTTTTAATGATAAAAACAATAATGGTATTGTAAATGGTACTTTTGGTATTGTTGTTGGATTTAGATCAAAGAATCATAAAAAGATTTATGAAAGAGATGAAACTGAAATTCCGGATTTCATAAATACACAAGATTTAGATCCTGTGGTTAAATTTGATAATATTGAAAATAAGATAGTATTGAAATGAGAAAAGTTTTTATATAATAATTCCGAAGGTACAGTAATAGCATGGAGATCGCAATACCCAATAATATCTGCTTTTGCTATTACTATACATAAGTCTTAGGGTTTATCATTACATTACATGATAATCGATTTTAATAAAATTTTTCAATCTGAACAACTGTACGTTGCACTATCTAGAGCAACTGATTTTAAAAAGATTCAGGTCAAAAATTTTAATGAAAAAAAACTAAAGACAAACAATGTAGTTATAGATTTCTATAAAGAAAAATTTAATATATAAATGATTATTAATATTTTGTATTTATTTTTATTAATATATTTTATATAAATAAATTTGATGTTTATTATTAAATTTAAACAAGATAATAAGAGATAAATATGCAGCAATTTATTGTTAAAATTAATGAATTTGATGAATTTGATAGTCAATCCATGTCCAGATATTTTTACACTTTAGAAGTTTTCTTTATTTTTCAAAAAAGAATGATCTATCTTGATTATTTTGATAAGGAATTTGAAGTTATCGATATGAAAACTTTAAAAAAAAATTATAACTTTATTTGGAATGATAAAACTTATCATATTCTTGAAAAAGAAGTAAAATATAAAGTTCTTTATAAAAAACAAGTTATTTGTTATATCGAAGAGGGAAAAATAATGATCAAAAAAGAATTTGAAAAATTTATGTTTAATTTAGTTGATTTTGATAATTTTCTTATTCTTTTAGAAATTGTTAAAGTTAAAAGAGTATCTCAATTTTTCTAATAAAAATTTAAAGATTAAAAATTTAAAAACTGGTAAAGATAATGATGAATGGCATTTTTATGAAATTGAAAATAAAAAGTTACCTTATCACGCGGTTGATAAGGCTAAACAATATTATAGAGTTTATTATAAAAATCAACCTATTATTGATTTTGTTAATGGGAAATTTATGATTAATAATTAAATTAGCATAATTAAAAGTAAGGATTATTAATTAAATTAGTTATAAACGTAGATCTTATTTTAATAATTTTTATATAAATAACATGTATCAATTTTTAAATATTTAACGTGCAATTTATTATTAAGATTATTGATTTTTATTCTGATCCAATTCTTGAATCTCTTAAAAATCATTATTTTAATTTGGAGGTTTATAAATTAGAGAATGAAACAAAAGTTTTAATTGATTATAATGATGAAAAATTAAAATTGTTAATATAAACAGAAATGACTCAGTTTTTAATTTTTTTCTTTCGAAGAAAGATAAATACAAGGTTACTTATAACAATCAAATTATTTGTAATCTTGATGGTAAACAGATAATGGTAGAAAAAGAAGATGTTCAATATTTATTTGATGTTGTTGGATTTGATAAAAATATTATTTGTATTGTAATTATTAAAAAGGAAAATGGTGTAAAATCATATTTTGATATCACTGATGAAAAATTAAAAGTTAACAAAGAGAATTATAAAATTTTCAAGTGGCCTAATTTTGATCTTGAAGAAAATTTGGTTAAATGTTTGATGTTTGATAAGAAAGAAAGTTATAAAATTACTTATGATGGTAATATTCTTATTAATATTTTTAAAGGTGAATTTTTAGTTTATAAAGAATATATTTATTTATTAAATAAGATTAGATTATAGAATAGATACAATTAAGTTATTGTTATTTATTAGCTTATCAAATTTAATATATCTATTTTCAGAAATAAGTTTATGTTTATAAAGATATATGTTGTATTCATTGATTTTTTTTAAATTAATTTTTTTACTTAAAGTGATTAAATTAAAAAAAATTTTAAAATCATATATATGATTATTGAAATAATTTTTAATTTCTTCTAAAGTATAATTTAAATCATACATAAAATAAAAAGCGAGTTTGTCATTTTTAATTGCACCATTTTCCCCATGAAGATACGAATATCCGATAATATATTTAAATTTTTTTAATAATTCTTCATGAATTTCAAATAATTTTTCAATTTTATTTTTTAATGAATAAAGTAAATTTATATTAACTTCAATATATCTCTGATAGCTTAATGGTAAATATGCTTTATAGTCAGGTGTATTTTCATCTTCGATATTATTGATACAAAGATCATACCAAATTTTAGCCTTCCACAAATCCTTATTAATCTCTAAACCTTTATCATAAAGGATTCCAAGATAAAAGCAGGATCTTGTATCTGAAATCGATTCTTCAAAATAATCAAAAGCTTCTTTGTATTTTTTATTTATAAATAATTTATATCCATTAGTAAAATTCATATTAATGTTTATTATTAATACACAGGAAAATATTAAAGAAATTTATAACGAAATCAAATTACTAAAAGATTATCATGTGATAAATATACCAAATCTTCTCAGTTTTCTGATATTCATCAATTGAAACAACATTAATTACTAAAACATTATACATGTAAAATATGTGAAAGTAAAAATATTGTACATATTTAATTTCAAATTACAACAAACATGTGAGAAATATACATTTTAATAAAAAGAAGATTATTTGTAACAAATGTCGCAAACCTTTATCATTGACATATTATAAAAAATTTCATAAATGTCACCAAAAAAGAAAACAAAATTAATAATTATTTTATTTATAATTATTAATACATTAAGTATAAATGAATAGATATTTATCTATAGAATTTAATTTCATTAAGAAAATTTGAATATGGAATTTCCTGATCTTGATATCAATAATATAACTCAATGTGATATTTGTTATTAATCATCATCATCTGATAACAGATTTATTTATTCCTTACTATGTGAATGTAAGAATAAAATATGTAAATATTGTGTTGAAAATATAAAAAAAGAATGGATAAAGAAGCAAAATGTCCTTTTTGTAATAAAAAAAAATTCAATGAAGATGAAAATATTAAATCAAGTCAAGATGAAGAAAATGGCCTAGATGAATTTTTTATAATTCATACTCGTTTTTATGTTAACAGGATCAGAAGTTTAGAATATGAGAACGAGGTGGCATTTTTAGAAACAAAATACGAAAATATTAAAAGCTATTTGACTTTTAATTATGAAAGAGAAATAGAAAAAATGAATAAATCAAAAAAAGAAGAACTTGATAGTTTAAAAATAAAGTATGGAATTTTAGAAACAAATTAGTAATATGTTTTTATTATTTAAGATATGAATTTTCATTATTTTATATATTCATCCATTTGTATTATTATTATTATTATATTCAAATAAATATTTATTTTTACTATCAATATGGATTATAAAAATTCACATGATTTTTTGAAATATAACATGGATTTTTTCTCTAATTAAATTTTACATCATTTTGATATTCATATTGAATATTATAAATTTGATAATAATATTTTTTATTCGGATATAAAAATTAAAAATATTCCAATTCATATTTTTTCTATTCGAACTGAGAATATAGATAATATTTATGAAGAAGCAAATCAATTAGCTAAAAGTTTTTTTAATACTTTACGCTCTTTAAAAAATATTCATTCTTTTAAAACAATCATTATTTTATCACAACATTTTATAAATATAAAAAAGCCAGATTTCATCTATTCGGAGGACCTTTACAAATTAATTTTATTAATAAAGTAATTCTAAAATTAGAAGAAGAAAAAAAACAAGCCGAAATTAAAAGTACAAGAAGAATTTACACTTAATATAATTTAAAAGGACAACGTAAAAAAGAAGTTAGACGTTTACAAGAAGATGTGGTTATTTTTTTGAATAATAGATCTTTTAAACTACGAAAAACAAATAATTCTTTGAGTACTAGTTTTGATTTATTAAATTAAATTTATTTTATATTATATCACATTTTAGTAAAAAATTTATAATCTTCGTATAAATTAATTAATAAATTATTTGATGTAACACATTTTAATTCTAAACATCCTGCAAAATCAGGATTATATTCTAAAAAAGGTAAAGTCTTATCATGTAAAACAATTGCGTACAGATGATTATAATTGATAAAAA